ATGCCCCAAAAAAGGAGGTTTACCAATCTGGAGGAAAAGGGGTTTTTGCACAAAAAGAAAACATCCACGCTACTTTTTTTCCCCCCACAAAAACCCTTTGCGCAAAAATGCCTTGCACACATTATGCAAATGAGGTGTGGTGATATGCTAATCTGCGCCTCATTTGCATACTCACTGCCGGCAAAACTAGTCAAGGGAAAGTTATCAGCACTTGTAGATGATTTCAAACTTTTATATCTTTGGATGACACTTCAGGCAGGGGCATACAGCTAAAAAAAAATCTGTGTTCAAGTTACCATGCATTATTACTATAGCACCATAAATGTATACAGCAATTTAAAAAATAATAAACACATGAAATAATTTATTTTTAAATTAATTTAATCTGAAAAGAGCTGGTCAAAAGTGAGAAGGTGCAGGTGGGAAAAAAAAACACAGTAAAAGTAGGGATATAATAATTCATTTAAAAAGGTAACCATGTAACCACTAAAAGTCCTAGTGGTTATACAGGTACATGCTGTGGACTCTGCAGTATTAAGCTTAAATAAGAGCTGCCAGACCCTGCACGGAGGCAGCTTTGCTGCAGCAAGCACTGCAGAGGCTTTGCTGCGTACTCTGCTCCCAGAGAACCAGTGTGTAACCGGCAGTGGAGGGGCCAGGCCAGGCCTGCCATGGACAGGGGTTGCTCGGTCTGGCTGGAGCAGCCCTTGCCTGCAGTGGACCCCGCAGGGCTGAAGCAGTGGCCTACACAGGATGGGTGGGAAGCTACTCCAGCCCTTATTAACTGGTAAGCATAAACAAGAAGCATCGCCCTACACAGGTGAACTAGTTAACCTTTCACATCCCTAACTAAAAGATGTTATTTTTGAAAAGCACACACTTGTCCAGCAGACACATTGGATTCAGGTAATCTTTCCCGACATGCTCATTTTACAACTAAAGGCTCCACTCCAGCAATTTGATGCATGTAGGATCCATGCTTATGCTTCAATGGGACACTGCATGGTTTGACTAGGGTTGCCAGGTGTCCGTTTTTCTACTGAACAGTAGACTGACTCGTGCTTCGCCTGGACCTTGCAGGGGGCAGGAGCGCCCTGGGATCTGCACTGCCCGGGTCAGTCCTGCTCCCCACCGGCTGATACACTCCTCCCCCCACCCCCTCCCTCACCCCTTCCTGGCCTGCCAGTTGGTTCTCTCCCACTTCTCCTTCCGACCTTCCCTGGCCAGCCCCACTGCACCCCACGCCAGTGCTGCTTCCGGTGGCCAGTTCTTCCCTCCTCCTCCTGAGCTCCCCTGGCCAGCCCCACTCCGCCCAACTGCATCCCCTTCCCCTCTGACCAGCTCTGCTTCCCATCGGCCGCCCCTCCCTCCCCCTGATCTCCTGGCCACCCTCTGACCCCCCCCCCTGCCCGCTCTGCTTT